CCCCCCCCCCTTCCACACAGCCCCCACACACCAGTGTTCTTCCACCAAGTTTACCATTTAACTCTCATTTACACTAGCAACACCACCTTTATAACAATAAGAATAAACAATTTAAAATAAAAATAATAAATTTAGAATAATAATAATAATAATAATAATAATAATACATATGTTTAGAGAAACGAACTGCAGCGTAGCTCTCAACTTTGAGGCGCATGTATTTTTCCATAAAAATAATATGGAAGTTCAAGCAATTCTACAGAGCTTAGGTCAAGGATTTTATCGCACTCATTTTGCAGTTTAATAATATTATTCTACACACTACATTATACATGGATTCTCAAAGAATGCACGAAAGCAGCGATTGTTTTAAAACGCAATACATGTACATCACTAATTTTAAAACGTATTTAGATTATAGTAACATCATTTTTTTCACATTTAAATAATACTTCACGATTCGACACGTTATTCTAATGAATTGAAGAAATCGTTGTCCGACATATCTTTTACCTACGTCACTGAATAAAAATATTATAAAAAAAATTAAACCATACTTTTTAAAATAACGATGTAATTCTTGCATGCCTCCTGTTGTTCACGAATTTGTCAACGAATGGACGTGTGAGAAAAAAGTAAGTGAGCTCGAAAATGGTCGTAGCGCTGAGCCCGACGAACAAACTTAGTAGACCTCCAAAAGATGCTGAAAAAAAAAAAAAAAATATGTCATTAAAAAATGCAGCAAGTATTAAATGTTTGTTGTGCTGTACCAATTATATTGTTCCAGGTAAAATTTACGTCACGACGATATCTCGTAGTAACCAAATCCTCATAAAATACATTGATGATACTGAAATTCCCAAAGTTACCGGCGTCTCTGAAATAATGACTACTTGCAATCACATAATTTCCCAAGTTAAAGCAAAAAAAAGTTCTATTTTCTTAATCTTGTCTACTAACTCCGATAATCTGGAAGAAGTGTAGGCTTTTTGCAAGTGAGCTTGAGTACTGTACAGTGGGTATGAATAAATCGTACAATCTGGCAAGCAGCCACAAGGTCTGGTTGTTATATCTATATCTGCCTCTAACAAATCATCACTATACATGTCCAAAGTTGGCCAAGACATGTCGTAAAGGCCTAAAAAAAACGCTATCCTTTATTTTCGATTCAAGTAATAACGACACAATTTTCAACGTACGTTGAATTTTCTTCATGCATATCAAATCTCGCAGGTTGCACACTCTGGTATCTAAAACAATAGTTTGCACGTGCCTATATAAAAATGTAAAAAACCATATCCTGTAAGCTATAAGTATTAAACTCGTACGATTTTGTGGTACATAAAAAGGCGCACAACCACATTCGTTAACAACAACCGACGTCCTACAATTGGTCAAACAGTTAACGTAACTGTACTTGAGCATGGTGTAATTTCTCATTAGGAGTTGTAGTGGTTCGGGCACTTGGTCGTTCTCGGATAAGCATTGTCGGCTTCGTAGAGGGAGGCTTTTCGTATTTCGAGTCGAATAAAATTCTTGAGGCTTGACGTTCATGAAATTTTGGACTCCGAGGCTAATTAATTTATACTGGCAGCTGCGGTATGGGTGATCGTAGGGATAGTGTATCAGTGTCTGTAATTAATGGTGCTATGGGTAAAGATTTTTCACTAAAATTACAAGAGCATTCCAGACAGGTTTGAATTAATGTTTTCATCATTTGATTCTAATGAGTTGCAAATGCTTGATGGCAATGTTTATAAGCCAACTGTCAATGCATATGGAATTATTTACCGAACTTGGTATTTTTTTATATTTTTACGTTAAAAAACATGCTAAAGTTTACGAATACTCACCAATAATTTTTTGATACCATACCAACTTTATAAATACTTAGAAATACAATTTTTTTTCTAAGAATCTGTGTTTTTTATTACTATTTTTTTGTCGTATAGCTACTCACTTAACAAACCATTTCTCATTAAGCTGTAATAGATACAAATATGAATCCATTTGCATTCTGCAAGTAATAAATATTGTATTACCATTAATATTGTTAATATTTATATTTTAAATTGTACGTTTGCAACAAGCGTCCGAAAATAAAACTTTTTTTTCTTTTCAAAGTAATCCAAGCAAACGTAGGTGTAAAGCGTTCATATTGACCACTCACCGATAATAGAGAAAACTTTGTGATTAGCTTTTGATGCATATGCAAATCAAAATTTTTACATGAGAGATAACTACTTATTGGTACGATGATAAAATCGCTATCGAAGCACACTTGACCTCACGTCTCAGCAAAGGTTATTGGTGCATCTGCTTACACAGTGCATATTAGATGTCGAGCTCTTATCAGTATAGGCAATAAAAAGCAGGTATATTAGAGTCGGACACACTGATCTAGTATCTATTTTTTCTCTTGTTATGCAACAAAATTTTCAAAACGATCTTTCTTAGCTGTAGGTCCAACTCAACTGAGAGTATTTAAAAAAAAAAAAACTATACTACTGGAAAAAAACTCTTGGTCCACAAAGTTCACGTCGCGTATCTTTTAGCAATTTCCATCTATAGTAGTAAAAAAAAAAAAAAAATCGCCGAAATAAGTAAAAAAACGAAATGCAATGAAAATTTGAATGTACCATCGGTAAAACGAAGCCCTCGTTGTAGTCCGTGTGTTCGCCGATCAAGTTCACGCGGCCAGGCGCGCATACGCACACGGTCGCAGCCACGCCGAATTCCTTGGCGAAACTCTGCAGGGCCCTGGCCTTCACTTCCTCGACCTCGGGATAATTCGTGGCCATTTCTTTTGTCGTGAATTCTATTTCCCACGAAATTCGATGGGACACTTTTGCAATTGTTTATGGGTGTCGGTCACTTTATTTTAAAAAACTACAACAAAAAAACTTTAATTAAGTACGTAGTGCGTCTCGCAGCAGATCGGTGACTGTCAGCGAGAGATCAACTCGAGCGTGTATATATAACGAATTCATTCTCGAGCCACAGACGGGCTCAGATGAATTAGAGAGAAACAGCAACAAAAGATAAAAAGCCGGTACGCTTGTAAGTTTTATGCAAGCCAGTGGCGCCACTATTTACTATGTAACGTAATCTTGTATATCTTCTAATGAGCGATTCCACAAAAAATTAACCACTGTTTGGAGAAAAAAAATTTTAAGGGGCCATTTTAGAGCTAGTCTGTCTTCAACTTTGATACATTTGATTTAAAAACTCACGGAGATTACTTTCAACAGTCTCAGTGACTTTTTTCATCATTTCAATACATCCTTTCAGTTTTAATAAAAAAACTGAATACAATTTAAGAACTTTTGCAGATTGTACATTTTTTGAGGGAACTGGAGAGAAAAGTAAAAAATAATGGCCGTGCAATTAAAAAATTTTCAGTAATTCGGTCAAATTTTGCCAATTTTTTAATCAATTCAAACGAATATTTTTTTACATCGGGCGTTACTTTCATCTAAAAAAATTAATTATTAAAAGGCCCTTTTTACATACTTTGTACTATTTATTTGGACGTTTGATCGGTCCTTACAATAAAATGATAAAAAAGACCGGGCTTACAAGTTTTTTGAAAAATCGGTTTTTAAAATTTTAAAATCACGGACAAAACATCTTACAGAGACTTTTTAGAATCACTGCAATCTTTTGTCTAATCGATACCAAAAATGAGTCTGTATAGTAATTGTAACAAATATTAATTTTTTGCAGAATTTCACACACTTACACAATCCTCACTTCTATGTCTATACCCTATACCTACACGCGTAGACGGTACCCATAATCTTGAATCAGATGCATATATATACATTCATATGCATATATTATACACTAGCGGTTAGAACACAAGCGTAGGAGAATGAGAGAAAACAGTTTTGACAACGTCGGCGATCGGCGTGCGTACTACTAAAAAATATAAGTTCAGTCTTCGGCACAAATAATACACTATTACCATTGTAACACATGTTGCGGGGCTGCCAGCTCCACTTTTTCTTCGTATAAACGGAGTATCAGAGTGACAGCAGTTCGGTGGGGGAGCGAGAAGTGCGCGAGTGTGCGTTTCTGAGCTTTGGGTATCAAGTTTTTTTTTTGTTTTTTTATCAAGGATCTGGTCGGGAAATGTGTGATGTCGGTCTCGGATCCTTTGATCAAAGAATTGAAAGGTTTGTTTTTAACATGTAAATTTTCCTCTCGTTTAGATAACATTCGTGTTTTAAATTTAAGGTTAATGTCAGAGAGACGCGTCAACTTGCCAGAGCTTATTACATTTTTATTGAGGTTTTATTAATTATATTTTTTATTAGTGAGACTTGAATGAAAACTAAGCAATTAAGTTTTGCAGTTTAATGTTTTACTTAGGCAAAAAAACTCGTGCAAGTTTCTCTGCAGGCACTTTTCACCTTCATTGTGTACGTTCAACTTATTGATTTTCGTGCAAAGCTCTGGATGCTCAAGTTTCCCGCCGTTATTTAAAAATTTTTTTTTCACTGCCACGAGCTTTTCTTCCATAAGTAACTGGCATATTAGTTTATACATGGACACTTTACCTTTTAGTAAGTTCATTTTGTTTTTTTTTTTTTTTTT